AAGGACCTTCAGACCACGACTAACAAAATTCTCTGGCCTGATGAGACAAAGATTTAATTCTTTTGAGTGAACAGCAGGCATCCTTTTTGGAGATCAGACACAACTAATCACCAGGATGATATCATACCAACAGTGAAGCAACTGAAGCTCAAGGAGATTGCTCTTCTCATCTCTGCATCTACCAAACTATGGAATGCTTTGCTGCTGTTATTTAGAAAAAGCCTCTTCCATAGACACTTTGAAATCTGCTCTTAAGACTCACCCTAAAAAACCATCTCTTCTGTTTGTTTGTTTTTTTTTTTAGCAGTATGAGGTGGTATTCAAATGTACTTCTTATCTATGGTGTATTCCATATTGTTACATTTATGTGGATTTTTTTTCTTTTATTTCATCTTTTATAACTCCATTTGTTCCTAAATTGAAATTTTCAGTAATTCATCCCTTTTGTTGGACACTTGGGTTAGTGCCTGGTGTTTTTAAAGGGATTTATGAATAAAGTTGGCTTAGCATGGCTGAAGCATGCTGGTGTCAGCATCATGCTTTGGGGATGGTTTTCAGTAGCTGTGAATAGATTCTTGGCTTTAGGTGCCTTTATGTAAATTACCCATTAACCAAAAATGTAAATGTATGAAATAATATTAGTAAAAGAAAAAGAAAACACTTACCATCTCTTTAATTATGGTGGATGCAGAGTCAATATCCCTATGAGGAATTTGGAAAGTTGTTCTCATGTTTTCCAGCAAATCTAGGGCCGATTCCAGAGAAGTTTTTGACTGATCTGGATCAAACAAAGCATCTGAGGACAAGTAATAACAGTTAAAGCAGGGCTTGGAGGACAAAAACGAAAAGGATGAATGCTTCGCTGTGGCTCAGAAAGAGACGATGAATTCATATCAGTCCGACTCATTTCACATTGGTCACATTTCACATAAAATGCTAGTCATTTATTCAATGAGAGTAATAAAAACAAATAACTCACTAAGTTTGTCGCCTTCATTAATGCGTGAGAGGAACTGCAACACCCTGAGCTTTAACAACATGTCATCAACGGATTCAGTTGGACGTTCAAGGACATCTGAGGAGAAAAATATCATTTTTACTCAGTAATCCACATCCATCATGGGTTCTCTACCATTAATTAGTGAGAAACCAGATGATACATGTAGCAAACTAATTTGGAAACATATTCTTATTGCACATTTTAATTTGATAATTTGTAAATGGGGATTTAAAAAACACAATTCCAAAAATTTATTATAAATACCTTTCCTACGCATTTAAAAAGATAATCCCTTATAACAATTTAAAATCCTTTATGGGGTTGTTTTTTTCTTGTTTGTTTGTTTTTTACCTTTAGTGGACCCTTTGGACCCTTCTGGTCACACTGAGAACAAATTAAACTAATCAAATTTGCTCCTTAGATGTAACCAACACTCTCATTGGTTAGACAGCCACACTTGGTTCACAAACAGACAAAAAAAATAACATAAATAATAATAATACTAATAACAGGCAACTGCAAAAAGGATTTGAAAGTGTAATAAGGGATTACCTTTTTAACAGGTTTTCAATGTGCTTAAAGACCAGAAGGGTGAAGTAAATGTAGAGGGGAAAGTAAAAATAAATGCAAATGCTAAAAGAATTTGAAAATGTAAAGTGAGAAAGAAAATTAGAAATGGAATATGGAAATCCCCTTTTAAATGTGTGATTAGGAAAAGTATTATGAACAGATACATGTATTTTAAAATCTCTAGATATAGGATTAAAAATACATTTTCAAACTGCAGTATTTAATAATGGATTAATAAATGCAACATCTAATTCATCTTTCATAACTGAATTTAAAATGTGCAATTTATAATTTAAGATTTAAAAGTTGAATAAATGGCTGTTTTTGTTTTTCAGTGACTCTCCTGGTCCTCTATGGTAAAGAATTAAAAGCTAGAAAATGAGTCACAAAGGTGATAATGATTGTGATCTAGAGACAATGTGTTATTCCACCTCCATGCATTAAAACCAACTGAGCAACTCAGGGCTGCCAGGATGATTTGATGTCTTGAAGGATCAGAAAAGGTAGAATATAGAACCAATATTTAGGTATGAAACACAACAGAAAAGACCAGGCTTGGGGTTGAAAATGATCTTTGCATAGTAATGTAAAAGAAAAGTGTGACTAATAATAATGAAAGACGTGTGTTTAAGGTTGTCAGTGTCTTAAACGTTCAAATTTAAATTACATAAAAAGCCACACTTATCTATATATTAAAACAAAACAAACATTTCCAGATTAATTGATGCATACTGGTGAATCTGAACTAGGATAACTAAGTGAACCCAGAATATTCACTATGCTCATAGTTTTGTTTAGGCTTTGCAGTTGCCACGCCAAAAAAAAAAAAAAAAAAAAAAAAAAAAA